CCCCCCCCCCCCCCCCCACGCGCGCCCCATCGTGTAGAGGCACGACCGCCGATTCTCGCTACCGAACGATCGTACAAACGCAGTTTTTCTGCTGTGAAACACATCTGTTTTCTCTCCCTCGTTGGTTATTAATTACTTTAATCATTTATCGTTGCTTATTCCCACGCACGTATGAATTGTGTTTGCTTTAATTCCGATACTTTCCTGAATTATTTTTTATTTCGTATGCTAGCGTATCGTGTACTTGTGAGAGACCGAGGGATGATTATTCAGTAAGAATGAGAGAACAATTGTTTCTGATCTCCTTCTGCATGACGTTTCTTGAAAAATTTCGCAAAACAAATGTGTCTCATGGGATTGAACTTTGTTAATTTTATCCTGCATAATAATCGCTTTTCACATGTCGAATATTCATCGATTTGAAAGAGTATTGTAATGAAGTTTTGTTTCCTAGCCGATGTAATGAAGAAGCTGAACGTTTTGTTTGTAATGCAGATAGAAGGCATATTACAAATGTATTTTTTTCCCTTTACAAACACTGCAGTTTATTGTTATGAACTATATTATCATAGGGATTTGTGTGATACTTATGTTAAGAATAATAATAAATTCTTATGAGAAGAAAAACGGAAAAAAAGGAAGAAGTGTCGAAAACGTTGAAAATTGAGTTTGTAAAGTATTTAATTGGAACAAAATCAGTTACTATTTATGAAGTATAATAAAGAGATAAAATAGGATCTTAAAGTGAATTTCCGTCCTGTTAGGCATAACTTTTAAGTATGTGAAATCTACTTTTGCGAATATATCGGGCTGGATCTACGTGGTAGACGTAGTAAGCCTTTTGCTCTAACAAAGGGATAACCAGGATTTATCTCCTCCGATTTGGACAAGGTCGATGTATGTTGTATTACCTTCCCATGAATCAATGATAAAGTGACTAGATGCAATTCTCAAGTATTCACGCAAAAAAATGCGTTTAAAACATTTAGTTTAAAGTTAATACTTCAGTATCGATTTATAACAATGGTTGTTAACTAAGAACCGTGTTATATAGAAAAAATATAAGCAAAAGCGCAAATTCATGGAATGCTGAAATCATCGTCGAGTATAGTCACGTGATATATTGACGCTCAAAGTGTCAAAGAAAATAAGTTGTATCTAATTTCTAACGTCATGCACTGACGAGGTAATACTGAAGATCATTGGCCTTACGGAATTTGGCGTATAAGAAAATTTCGCTATTTAATAACTTCCTGTCGATAAATTTGTGCATCAAATCACCATGAATAATAATTACAAAAATGCATTTTCACATAAATATTTAATATATTTTATTGTAGGTGTCTGTGTACATATCGATAATACTCCTATTAATCCCCCTCCCTCAGATTTTATATATGGATAACTAAAAATGGTTGAATAATGTTATCCTTCTTCAGTTTTCTCCGAACTCTTCAGGGCTCCTTTTGCGGGACGAAAATTTACGCAGGGCTGAAGATTTTTAATATTACCTTGTCGGTGCGTCATGTAATATGAACTGCCAATGTGAATATTCAAATGTTTTATGTTCATTATATTCTACTATTTTTTCTATATAGTCTATTAACTACGTTATAACATTTACTTCAAAACAATGACATATTTCTCAGAGAGCAACTAAGCGGGACTGACGCTGTAATGTTCAAAATTTGATACTGTTATACCTTTTCATGCGTGTTTCGTTATCCAGCAGCAATTTTGATCACGTGATTTATTTTGATGCTAAAAACGAGCGTAGTATAAAGGCACCTTTGTCTACATGACGTGAAATTCCTAGTGACCCTAAATTTAGCAAGTATCTAGAGATTGTCTCTTTTCTTACGAGTCTTAGGGATGGTGGGCCTAATTTAAAGAAAATGCGAGCAAAGTTTAAAATTCCAGGCTACTTTATATATTTCCCCGACATCTTCCGGTTTTCCATGACAAATTTAATTTCCACGACTTTTCCCGCTTCTCAAGGTCTGCGGCAGCTCTGACGATGCATCGTCGTCTTCGTCGTCGCTCAAAGACATGCTAATTTTATCCAAGTTCAAAACCACCGGATTCTTCTTACGCCGGACCGAAGCAGGCTTTTTGACGTAACGTTTGTGGGTGGACGGCGTCACGCAAGTACTCGAGTTGGACGAAGCTCTCACATACTTGCTTATGTCGATATCGCATGCTTGGGGGACCATGAAATCTGCAAAAGACGGACATTTATAGAAGTATAGAAACATTACGAGACGCAAAAGACGTATCGCCGTCGAAGGAGAAGGAGCTAACGAAGATACACATACCCAGATAATTCGGGGACTCCAACATGGTTTGAAAAGCGCTGTTGAGCACTACTTCCTCAGCCGAGATATAGACGGGATGTCTCTCCAATTTATACCTGCGACATATATTTATCGCTAAATTGGCAACGTCGGACGCGTCCTGCTGCCTCGACGCCACGTTGGCTCCCAGAAAATACGAGAAATCGACCAGCAGCTGCACGTAATCGACGATGTACGATCGTGCTTGCCAGGAGAACCGCTTCGCACCTACCTCGTCGCAAGAGCGGCTCTCCGGCAGCACGGTTTGCTTCTCCCCGAACAGTTTCTGCCGTATCTTGAAGGCGCCGTAGAAATGATCGAGCGCCACCGTATTATGACACTGTAAGGCGTACAGTTGCGCTCTGATGTACGTAGTAGTGAACACCAGGTACTGATACGACGCGTTCTCGCACTTGTAGCAATCGCAGTTCTTCCCGTGCAGTGCGAATTTCGGCAGGTCGAAGACCTTCTTGCCGAGCACCGGCGATGCGTCGCGCTGTGGCACGTCTCTCACGGGATCGACGATCCTCGCGGGCGACACCGCCAGGTGACCGGACACTTCGACGGCGCTCGGCTTGGAGTTCATGGACAATTGGAACGTTTCGATGTCCAACATGTGCTCGAGGCCTTGCAACTTCACTTCGCAATCGTCCAGCTTCGTGCGCGACAGGTCGATGTAGCATAGCGACTTCAACAGCTCGGCGGTACGCATCACCGCGCCCAAGCTCTGCGCCGACTTCACACGGCGCACCAGGTGCGCGCAGATATCGCGAAACGACAACAGGTGGTTCACTCGCATCGACAGATTGACCGTTGCAGTGAAGAGCACGTCGTAACTGAAGAGACATTCGGCCTGACTTTTATCTGAAAAGAATCGCTTTATAAGTGGCCGAATGATCTTCGTGTTTCCAGTTTTAACTCAACTACAATTGGCTGGAATGCAAAGTGCGAGGACGATTTTATAAGTGATAAAGTCTCACTTGTAAGCGCGTTAACTCGCTTAGAATTTGCAACGAGGTACTTACATTTCTTCACCGACAGATCTTGAGACAAATTGATCATTGCGTATAGACTTTCCACAATGTATGAACTGTAATTCTCATGTTTTACGTTGTCTCCGTATAAATTGCAATTGCATATGATGGTATCCAAGCCGAACAGATACACAGACGTGTTGGAGAAAAATGAAATTTCTGGAAAATTTCTAGCGTCGTCAAGCAATTCCTTTGCGTTGTCGCACTAGAAGAGAAACAAAGGAGAACCTTAGAATTGATATTGTGTCTAGGGGAAGCGTTTGCATTACCGTTTTACTACTGTTACCGCACCTTTCCACATTGGAAATAAAAATCCGCCAAGCTTATCCAAAAGATAGCAATGGCGCTAATTGTATTCCCGTTTTTGGAGTCTCTGTGCTTCATGGCATATTCCTTAGCACTGGTAATCCAATCGTAATTGATTTGCCTCAATGAAATACTGCGGCCTGTGACTATAGTGGAATTTATATTAGTTTACTGCAATTTGAAGGAGAGAGAGAATTTAAATGCTTCAACGTACTGTAAATAATTGTACAATAATCGCCCATTTCTGACGCTAATTTATGCGCCAGCATCCACGCTTCCGCTTCACATTTGTCATGACGATAAACTCGACAGTATTCACCAAATGTGACCAGCATGCGAAGTAGAAGATTCGGTTCCCAATTTTTAATAATCTCACTCTACGGTAATACATATTTGTGCGATTAGTGAATTATAACATCTATCGACAACGTTCGTAACGCAATTAGTGTCGTGTTGTATGTTTACTTACAAGCGTTTCATACTTGAGCAATTGGTCCCACTTCTTCAAACATTTCCGCAAGCTCAGTTTGAGACTGGAGTCTTTCTTGATATTCAACATAGTGTAAGCCGGTACTACGGTTGGAGATTTAGTCTCGCGAACTTCCGGTAGCTTGGGAGCGTACAAAGCGAATTTTGTGTTCTCCATTTCCGCGAGAGTTTGCTTATTCATTGTATGCAACTCCTCGACGAATGTGAAAAATGTTAAATTAACTTCCAGGCATAGGACAGCCGCGGAATTCGATTTGTCTTGCTTCAAATGCGGGATGACTTGCTCGTGATATTCCAAGACCGAACTGTTATGCTCGGCAGAACCTAACAAATAGTGTCCCAATAACTGTATTGCGTGTGCGTATTGGCTTTTGGTCGGCTTCAATTTCCTAAGTTCCTGCAGAACCGCTGACACGCCGTCAGCAAATGCGACGTTCTCCTCCAGCAAACTTCTTGCCTCACGCAAGCAAAACTGAATGAGATCGTACTTAGAAAAGTCAATTGTGAATCCCATCTCACTGATCTTATCTTTGTCATCCCTCAGGCATTCCAGCATAGTTAGCTTCGCGACTTCTTCCGAGGCACACTTCTTCTTGATATTTACCCACATGTCGAAAGCCTTTCTATATTGCGTATTGTAAGTTAACAGGCCGTTCAATGCAGATGCAGTCATAGCTTCTCTGTACATCTTGTTGGTGTAATGTATGGCACATAATCTGTGCAATGCGGCAGAGATGGGATTTTCAAAACAAAGGTAGTTGGACCGTGGATCGATTCCTTGAAATCGGAATATGCAAGTACACAACAAGGAGAACATATGTACGCATTCCTCGTAAACATGCTCAGTTGCTATGCCCATGTTATAAATTAAAGCACCACACGTGACCCATAATTGCGTCCAACGTTTGCATTCGCATTCTTTCATTTCGTAGATCAACGCTACATCTTGCTCCAAGATTTTCCCAACAAGGACACACAGTTCCTTCGGCAAAATTTTTACAGGGAATTTACTTACTAAATTGACGCATCTGAACTTTAATATTACTGTATTGTATATGTCCCTTTTAACTGTACACTTTTCATTCAAACATGCGTTACATTTGTTTGACACGTTCTTCGTTAGAAATACACTTATATATACAATTAAGCTTATTGTCTCCAACAAGATGCCAGTATCGAGAAATTTCTGTTGATAATTTTTCACACACGTCTCCCAATATGTGAACACGGAGTCAACTATTTCTTTAATACCAAACACGTTCCACTTGAAGCTCCCTGTATATCCATATTTTTGTGCTATCTTCTTGTCATGAATAATAAAATCTTGTATACTTTTGGCAGTGTCATCCGTAAGATTCTCCACTGGAGTTAAAAATATCACACACAGGCTTTGAAACTGTTGGAAGTATTGGTAACATTCCTCATCTTTTATGAAAAGATTTTTAAAACAACCACATAACTTATTCAATGTTTTGACAGCATATTTTATACGAGATGTATTGATACTCTTACATATTACACGACATATTATATGAAGTATTTGACAATATGTTACATACTTTTCATCTTTGTCTAAACACAGCCGTGCTTCTGTTAGATATCCCAAAATATATTTATAAAAATCATCAAAATACAAATTTCTCTCCTTATCAATTGTTGCTATTTTATCTATATGTATACTTATCCTCGCAATCAAGTGATGTGTATGATTTTCATATACAATTTTTATCATCTTCATTTCATGTCTTATGATACTCTTCAAGTTACTATAACTTTCTGAGCTCAATGAGTCAGTGGCAAGAGAATAAATATTGTTTATTGGAATGCGCCATAAAGATAATATTTGTACTAGAATTCCCATGGTGTCGTTTGTAGGACTATACAATTTTCCAGGTTCTAGATAACAGCAGATATTGGCCGCATCCTCATACAGATTTGAAGAGATTAAACAACGGATGATATGGTACAAACTTATGACATAGATTTTATCATCAGGTACCTCAATCAATAATGAGCAAAGTAGTTTGGATAATTCGGCGATTCTTTTTCCAGGCATATGGTGTTGTTTGTTGCATTTATCTGAGATTGTATGAGACAAATACCGCAATAATTTAAAAATATACATGTTCAATTTCTCATCTGGCTGAACACGAATATTCATCTATAAACATATCATAAAGATGAGATTGTGCTCGTAAGAAAAATATTTAAAATAGAATTAAATGGAAAGCATACCTGAATATCCTTCAAGGCATCTTCTAGCTTTGCTGATTTTATCAATTCTATCCATCTTATAACTTTTTTCTCCATACTGTCCATTTTGCACAATATAAAATTGTCGATTTTGTAAATTACGCCGATCCGAGTCTTTCGTGCAATGTAAAACGCTGTAACGCCAGGAAGTTTAATGTCATTCTGTGTATTGTAGAGACAGAACCGTTTTTACCGGATGTGGTTTCAAATTTCTAATTTGTCTAACTCCCCACATCAGATATTAATTACATATAATTCAAGTATTGAGGTATCTTTCGATTACTTACAGTAATGTATATCAGTTGAAAATAATAATAAATTAATTATACCGCACATGAAAGAAGAAAACAACGAACATAATAGCTTCGAACACACCAGCACAAACGATAAACGTAAACACACTGGTCACTTTTCGCGGGTCTTGATGGTTGTGTTCAGCAAGACGAGCAGAATTAAACTCTTATGGCGGATTCACTCTGCACTTGACATGCGATATGCTGCCTCCAATAGGTCTGTTTTTTTTTTCGAAACACTTTCTGCACTAGTGCACACCAGTGTAAGGAGTTTACACTAAAGCGTTCTTTTTATCGAGAATGACGTCACGTGATGTTATTAACGCTGTTTTCGCAGTGCAACAGCATGTAGTGCGGGCAGTTAGTGAACTGTTGCACTGAGTCAGGAGGTAGTGTAGCCAGTGCAGTGCATAAAAGTGTAGGGGAAGTGCATGTAAGCATAACGGAGGTTTATAGGAAAAGTTTCTATCAAGTATGTGGCTCTTGCATTTTATTGAAATGTATGAAACATCTTATTTATTTCATTATCAAAAATATACATACACAGCAGAAATGTCCAAACATACCACAAGGATGAATTTAAGATGTCAAGATATCTTTATGATTTTCCTATGAAAAATGTTGAACATTTCAGTTGTGTGAAAGTATATGTACAATATATTATTAACCCTTTGCACTCGATGGCTCCGGACCGGAGCCATTTAAAATTTGTCTTCAAACTCGGGGGCTCCGCTATGGAGACAAGGCAAAAAACTTTCATTAAACATTTGTAGATATCTCATTACATAATAATGGAGAGTAGGGAATTAGCCTATATGAAGAGAAATGCAGATGGAAAAATTATACTCAATGAAAAATATAACCTGACATGCGTTTCTGAAGGTTATATCTGCAGAAAGTTATATCTACAGTTGACTCCCGCGTAACGCGAGTTCTTACAACGCGAATTTATATAGCGTGTACCGTAATAACTGCGTTATATGGGAGTTTACTATATATACTAAATAG